ATTCACCTTAAGATAATTTACAAAAGTTTTCGTTAACTGGCGAGATTTATTGAAAACCGCGCGCGAAAGTTAGAATGAGTTTTGCAAGTATCTACAGTTTTTCGTTCGAGCACCAACTGTCGAAATCAATCCTATTTCGCATATAAAGTTAACGAAAGCTAAACGACTGTTCGAAAGTATATTTATATAACTACATTACTACAGTGCGAGCTTCTTACAATAAAACAAACTTTGACTTCTAATGAGAACTTAGTTGACTTCATTATGTCTTACATTATATCTTAATCTCTAACAATAAGTAACAATAATGCAAACTAATCACAAAATAATAGCTTTCATTTAAAATAAAACTTTCTCCTTCTAAAGTATATATTTAAAAAGACTTGAGTAATCCATGAACATTTCATACTCTTACACAAAAATGATATGGTGAAACTTCATTTCTTTAATTCTCTCCACTTTGATGGGATATGTCGAAAAATAATATGCTATATTATAATATTACACCACATAAGTATTTACTGACCACGCAAACATAGTAAGAAGAATCGATGCAACGGACAGTAAGGTAACCGACATTAAACGGAGATTCGTGTCGCTGCTTGCGATGGTCTGGGCGGAAAATCGATCCGGACCCTTGTTTGCCCGTTAACGCCGGACGTGACATTAAATGCAGATGCAAAGTTCACAGTGGCGTTTACTGACAATGTAGGTATGTATATCGATGACGGCCATGCAGTCCGTAAATCACATAGTTATTACGGTAGTCCATGTTCGATCGCCAAGCGTGTAATATGCGGGGAGATAATAACCGTGAATGACTTTATATTAACCCAGCAACAATGACTTGAGAACTCCCCTTTTACGGTAAAAACTTCCACGACGTGAGACTGCACAATTTCTCACATCCAAAATTCGATATTGTACACTCGGTGACATTTTGCCTAGCATTCCTGTGTAACATACTTATTACTATGATTTAAATAATATTTGATTTTGTTTAACTTATTATTATTAAATAATATTGTTCAAAATGCGTAAGATGCATAGGACACTCGCGCAAAGTTATCTATTTCTATTTCCGGTCAGATTTTCGAATTATTTCAGCAGATGTTCATACAAAACCAAAATATAATTTAACGTATAATTACTAACTGTTAGCATCAGTTCATTACCGCCTGTTCATATAGGAATAGGAATCGCATAGATTGAATATCGCCACATATGGAATATTTAATAAACGATTGTATAATAGAACGCTTTGATAGTAGAAATCAGCATAAATCATAGAAATAAGTAAAATACAGTATCAAATATTCAAATGAACAATTTTCCTTCCGCTCCTTTAATCTTCTTGGTTCTTCAGTCTCTAATAATAATCTGCGATTGTTTTCAAATTTAATTAACTTTCTAATAATTAACTTTCTAATGCGTATTCTGCATAACGGTTGTTCTGACAGTTCAAAAATCTAAAAAAAATTTTCTCTAAAAAAATCTTCTTAAAGAAAAAAACAAATCTGCGTCAAATTTCACTAAAACTCTGTTTTCAAAATATTTGAGATAGCGTTAAAGCACCATAATTCACTAGAGTACTTTAAATTCTACTATGATACACGAGACGCGTCGCGCAATTCCGGAGTGTCACGAGAATTCGACGCAAAAGTTCAAACGTCGACGAGCAAAGAAGACCGTTGACGAAAAATCTGTCACTGTTCAAGAGAGAGAATCAGAACAAACGTGTCCATGCATATGTAGATGCTGCCGTATCTGCAATGCAGATCTGCGCGGCATCGGCGAGTCGACCTTCGTGAAATCGAATGATTTGAGACTTTGCAATTCCACATGGGACAATTCAAAAAATTACAAAATAAACGAAAATTAAAAGCAAAAAACAACAAAAGGTAGATAAAGAGAGAGAAAGAAAGAAAAAAAAAGCCAAATACAATGGACTTTCTACAATAAACTGTTACTTTATTTAAGTTTTCAATCTCAACTCGTAAGAAATCACAATCGAATCTAAGAAGAATAATTGATTATGATTGTCAATTTCTTGTAGCTTAAGACTTAAATCTTAGGTAATGACTTAATGAAGGAAGCCTATGTAAGATAAAACAAAGATAATTAATCTCCTATAGATTTCCGAATTATAAAATAACGATTGACGATCATATTTGTTTTATTTTTAATATAGCGTAGCCTTCCACGTCATAGATATTTTTCCAAAAAGATATTGTGCTTTTAATATCCATAATTTTCATTAACAAAAAAATTATAAATTTATAAAACGTTTCGTTAACTTATTTTTTTTATAATATTAAATATAACATCTTTCAATACCGTAGTACGAATAAGAAATAAAAGCCTAAACAATCAAGCTGAATCTTTAATGCTTAAATAATTCTGTGATAGAGCAATTCTTGCTCTTCTTATTCGATGTCAATTTTTTTACATACTGAGTATGTATATAAAATATTAAAGAGAGAGGACTAAGCAATTAACGATAGATTCTTGAGACTAAGTTTTCATAATAAAGAACAAAATAATAAATAATATTAAGCAAACAGAATACTCTCAAAAGACAAACAATATTTGAAAAATAATGTAAAATGTGCATCAATCAGCTACTAATTGTTTTGTAATATATAGTTGATTAAAACTTAATTTTTTAATTCTCAGGAAATTACGTCCCGAAAAAGTCTCGCTCGATACAATTTCGCCAGTTAAAGTGAATTATATCGTTCAATTTATAACTGCGACGTAAATCCTTTTTACTTACAACATGGTGCATTTTTGCGAAATCGAGCGAAAAGATTTAAGGGAGCGTAGCTGACTTCTTCCTTCGGATAAGTGTAACTCCATCTCTCTTCTTGAGATCGATCTGGACGAATCGTCGATGTCTCCTTAAATCACCGCAAGTATGTCGGCACGAGCAACGTAAATGCATATAAGCGTACACGTGCGAGAATAAATCGTCCATTCGCACGAGAGATTTAAAAGATCATTCTTTCGCGCCTCAGAATAAATTTCATTCGCACATTCCTCCGCAAGTTATTTTAAAAATATCGCACAACGAATGATATTCTGCGTGAGGGAACACAAGTGATAGACGCAGCGTCTCGAGGGAAGATATTTGAGGCGGTGATTTTGTCTTTTCTTCTTTCTCTATTTTTCGAGACGAATTCGGCCAGAATTCTTTTTACGGATCGATCGATGTGCTGCCGAAATGTCGACGCTAAAAATGGTAATCGTGTCACAGGAACGAAGCGAGTGTGTGAAAATGACCGTTCTTATTTCATCGTAGTAAGAGAACTTTTGAGAAGCTTTGAAAAAATTGCTCTTCTTTTCGATACTTATAAAATAGAAAGTTAACCGATTTATATAATAATCATTTTAATAGAGGCAACTTCTTTAAAACGTGATTATAAATCTTATAATTTTCAAAAATCTACTTGTTTTATTTGAAATTAACATTATAAAGAAATTTTTTGTACTATAACATTTTAATAGTATTAATAAAAGGTTCTACTCATTTTTTATCAAGAATACAATTCTTTAATTCTTTTTTAATTTTTGGAAATTACAATGTTTGAGAAAATTAGGTACAATCGTAAAAAGTCAAAAAAGTTTTAAATTCTTTATCGGAAGGAACATGTTTTCTTTTTTGACGACATCAGTTTGTAAGATGCTCGGTTAAATGATCGTAACTGTGCCACGGGGACGAAGTTACAAGCTACACGTGGGTGAGAATAAATCGTCCGACTTCTGGAAACGACGACGCGAAACGAGCTAACGTGTCATCGACTGCGACCCGACTGGGAACTACCACTTCCTCCCTATAATGGAAGAAATATCTTCGAAACGTCGATATTGGGAAGACACGAAAATGGCAACGGGAGAGTTTCTCACCTTCGAGAATGTCGATCGCGTAATTTATACACTCCGTTCGTAGCCAGTCATCTCTGATATTGTTGCATAAAAATCAACACTGTGAGTGTGTTGCTTTTTACATTTACCATGGTAATATCGCTCTATTTTATTTCTCTGCTTTACGAAAAGATTCAGAAATATAAATTTTATTACGTGTTACGTCACGCATAGTAAGCAACAAAACTTAAAAATCAACTTTCAACATTAATAAAAAAATATAATAAAGTAAGGTAATATTAAAAAGTAAATCAAGGATATTTCTTTTTGTCTCCATAAATAACATATCGCATGTCGGCATCATTTCGGCACGTTTCAGAAGAAAGCATTCTTTTTTTAATAATGTAATCCTACATAGTAGAGCAGTCACGCGATATAACGAAACAATGGAATGAAAACTCTGTTGCTCTGCCTCGCTCACGACTTTGATATAGAACGGCCTTGAGCTAGCAAAGCGAGTTTTCTAGCTTGAAGACAGCATCCAGAAGTATCGAAATCTATTGTACCAGAATATAAAATGTACATTTGATGGCGCGAACAGTGACGAAGCTATTTGTAGATGCGCCTCATACATATGAAAAGAAGACGATAATATATCAAGAGATTCTACATGAAATTGTAATGCGTACATATCGACGTAGCATAAGTTTTAATCACTAAACGCAAAAAATATTGTATATTATTATTAGAATCGTGATATTGACCTTAACATGATCTCTTCAATCTTTAATTACTCTCTTCAAGTCATAATTTGCTTCTATATAATATGCTAGAAATAGCAAATAGTTCATTTCTTGTAAATTATAGACTCAATCTTCCCTCTATTTTACACAACTTTTTAAACTTTAATATTTTATCATTCAATATATCTTAATAATTAATTATAAGTCTCAGTTTAAAATTATACTAATTTAAACTTACTCCAAATTAATATTTACTCCAAAATTAAAAGATGAGTAATGTTCTATCATTTATTTTCGTAATTTGTAAAAGTCTCTTTTCTCAATTCATAAAAAGTCTTTTGTCATCAGATTTCATATAAATTAGTATGCAAATTTCTGAAACATTTTACTCACCCTTTGTGCCTTCCGTTTATCAGCACGTTGATTTTGATGATATATTCTGCTGAAATTACTGACGATAACAGGTACCGGTAAAGCGATCACTAGGACACCGCTCAAAGAGCATACACCCCCGACGATTTTTCCCGCAATCGTTTTCGGAACCATGTCACCGTAGCTGAAACAAACAGAAAAATATTTGTTAAAGCAGCAGTTTCGTGATTTATACGAGATAACATTCCGTAAATTTTGTAAAGTAAAAATATCAAAATTAATATATACTAAATTTCAAATTTAGTATGTAAGTTTTACTTTTCTTTCTGAAAATCAGAACATTTAGAAAATAAAATTAAATTTCACAAAAATATTCAAATTTAAGTTACAACCATGTAATAATTTATTAATTCTTTTCATATTCTAAAATTTAATAATTAGAAGATTTATAAATTTCTAGAATTTAATAATTAAAAAATTTATAAATTTTTTGAATATAAGAATTCTAAATTTTAGTGTAATTATAAATTATAATAAAGTTTCAGGAAAACCTAGAAAAATTTACAATCAAAATTCAGAAATCTAAACACTCTAAAATGTACTTCGAGATGCTAAATTATTATGTATATAATAATTTAGCTTCCAAATATGTATATAACTTGCACGTATTAATAGTCGAAAATTTTATTTCTAGTTGCTTAAACCTTCAAATTTATCAATAGCAGAACTCCATATTCTACAATCCAATACATTTTAAAGGTTTCCAAACTCATAGGGTCATGTTCATTTCGAGATATCATACATAATTCCAAGCGAACATCACACTTCGCGCATCAGAAATTCATTCGTGAAGCATTGTTATGAGCACTGTTGGCAACACAAAACAGTAGTAGCTTAGACAAACGATCCGGCCAAGTGTTTAGAAGACACGATGGAATTATACATTCCCGACGTTGTCGCCCACGGGAGCACGCATCGCGACGAGGGAAACGAGAGAGCGATGGATAATTCACAGTGTGCTTGAAGAATTCAGTCGTAAAAGATACATTCGTCCTCGTTTCTCAGCCGTGCGAATGTCCATCCATAAAACTTTTCCGCGGCTACGTGGCTAGCTATGTAGTCGACCATTTCCCACAAGGTTTCCCAGTCCAATTCCATTACACATTTACTGTGTATCGAGTGACGCAAATATGTACGACCGTGCAAATATGTGCAGTAACCCTCGGCTGCCTATTTAACTTTCTTTCGTGACAACGCGTGTTTAAATATTTGCGTATCATTAAAATTGCAGCGGTGAAACTTTTTGTTAGAATCTGCATTAGAATCTTTCACAAAAAATAAATGATTTGTTAAAACAACAAAAAACGTCACAGATTTAGCAAATTTATATTTACAGTCATAATATACAGACAGCCAATTTTCATGTTAAAGTAGTAAAGTTAGATAACTGAATAATATTAGTGGTTATAAGTAATCATATACAGTTTGTTAATACAACAAAAATAACTTTCTACAAAAATCAACTTAATATACATATGTAGATCAAAATTTTTAGCAAAATATGCTACCTAAGCGTGTACTTCCGCCTGATATAATGAAGAAAATTTGTTACATTAATAATTTTCATTGCAGCAAAGAATTACATACTAATAATTGCTTATAGATATAATTTCTTTGTTGAAGCTTTGTTCAAATCTTCTTAGTTATAGATATTGAACTCACGCAGCGAACTATAGCTTTACTAAACAACAAAATCTACTTATATATATATATATA